TAGGCCGAGGGCTGCCGGTGCGCAGACCCGCCTTGGCCTGGTCTTGACGCTGACCACGCTGCTCTTTGTGGCCCTTTGGGGACAGAATGTAATTCTTTGTGTGTGTTACACAGGATCCCAGCATGGCAGGGGTTGGAAGGGACCTCTGTGGGTCACCCAGTCCAACCCCCTGCTGAAGCAGGGTCACCTACAGCAGGCTGCACAGCACCACGTCCAGGGGGGGTTTGAATATCTCCAGAGAAGGAACCTCCACAGCCTCCCTGGGCAGCCTGTTCCAGTGCTCCATCACCCTCAGAGGGAAGTTGTTCAGCTGGAACTTCCTGTGCCTCAGTTTGTGCCCATTGCCCCTTGTCCTGTCACTGGGCACCACTGAAGAGCCTGGCCCCATCCTCCTGACACCCCCCCGTAAGATATTTGTAAGATCCCCCTCAGCCTTCTCTTCTTCAGGCTGAACAAGCCCAGCTCCCTCAGCCTTTCCTCATAGCAGAGATGCTCCAGTCCCCTCATCATTTTCATTGCTGAAACCCAGCCCCAGTTGTCACGGTTATGTTTCTCTCTCCGTTTTTCTGATGCTAAAATGCTGCCACTCCTCATGAGGAGATGCGCCGAGGCTGTGTCTGGACCGATGCCACCCGGGTTAACAACAAAGCCCAAGGCGGGATAAGGCTGAGGCCATCCGAAGGCAACAGCTGCCAGAAGGGGTTAAGGAGAAAGCGGTGGGGAAAGTTTGTGCTGGGTGTGGATCCCTACCAGCTGCCGGCACGCTGCCAGGTGCTCTGCCTGCCTGCATCGAAGGCTACGGCTCGGCACAGAGACAGAGCGGCTGTGGGGGGGAGGTGGGAAGGGCCATAAAGATGGGGCAAGAGGTGTGAGGGGTGGCTGGGCTGCTTCAGAAAGCTTGTTCCTCTCTGTCTTCTGAGGTTCTGAGATCTGCTGGCTTAGGAGAGCTCTGGCAGACTGGGTCATTGAAAGAGGGTTGTTGGATGGGGGGGGGTCTCTGCTTCAGGGTAGGTTGAGATGCGGCCCCTGAAGATGTTTCTGTGCCTGCTTTGGGGTGGTTTGTTGGTTTGTGGCTTTTTTTCCCCTGGCTGTTTGGCCCTTTGAAAGAGGCTTCTTGCTTACAAACTCGAGGCTGGGGGGGGGGCCGGGGGCCGCAGCAGGCGGTGGGTAACCAGGGAAGGAGACGGTGCGGTACGTCAGGGCTGAGGAGAGCTGGCAGAGCTGCGTGGGGACCGATGCTTCCTGACCACGTGCCGGGCCTCAGCATCTTCCCGTCAAGGAGCCTAACCTGTCGCGGAGAAAATAATCGCGGAGGGTTCTGGTTGTTTGCTGCCAGACGGACCGGAGCTGCGTCCTGGGATGTCAGCTGGCCTTGGCTGACCCTTCCCCTCGCACAGGCTGAGTCCCTGCCAGGAACGGCTGAGCCGAGGATGACGCGACTGCCTTTCCTAGCGAGCTTCCGTCATGGGGGGGGGAGTGAGGGCGTGCGTTTTGACGTGCATAGGACGCTGTCGTTGCAGGGACCTTCTTATAAATAAGGAATTTCCTCTCCCCCTGTTGCTCTGGGGTGCCCAGGGTCCCCCTGGCAGAGCTGATTTTGGCCGGCTGGTGCGCTGCGTCGCTGGTCTCACCTGAGGTTCTGCAAAAGCCTGCGCTGATGATTTATGAACTGGCAGATTGCGATGCGGTTTAGTCTATAAATAGCCAGGGTGTGCGTGGGGGAGGGAAGGATATTAATGCTGAGTGTGGCCCCATGCCAGTCCCCTGGCTGCGTCTCTCGCTGCAAGGCAACCCTAAAACATTTAAAAGCTCAGATGCCTGTTGAGGTCAACGCATGTGTGAAAGGCAACAAAGAATCTGCAAGTTCTGGATTGCTGGGAGTCCTGGAAACACAGAAGTGACGACGGCCTCTGTTCTGCTGAGGGACACTTGACATGAACATCCACATCTACTTCCTTCAAACATTTGCATTGCAAGGGATGAAGTGCATGGAGAAGGCAAGGGGGCAGTGGGGAAGCACGGCTGCATCCTGTTAATATCTAGTGGTTAAGCACAGAAAACCAGAGACATAAAAAGAGGAGTAATGTGAATAAATAAATTCTTCTAGAGGAACAAAGAAACTTCTGCCTGGAATCCAGCCCTCATGACAAATCCTTAATCCATAATGCTTGCCTCAGCCTTGTTACAGAGCTGGGTTTATTGACCTAAAATGCTAGGCACATGCGAGAGCATTTAAGAGAGGCATGTGCTTCATGTCATACTTATCTTTTAGAACAGGAAAAAGGAGGACAATTGGTTTTCCTCCATTTTTCAGTTTCAGCCAAAATCTGAAAGGAACAATAGAATAGTATCTAGGTCTGCTCCTTTAGGCAGTTTTTGTGCTAGATAAAATTCAAACCAGAAACTATCCTACCATAAAAACAAATGCAGAAAGATAAAAACTTTGTAGCAGAAGTGGAAAATGATGGTTATATACTGGATTTCCCCACAGCTATTTGAGTGTCGGTATGAAAGTCATGAACAAAAAGAAATTGAGCTATAACACTTGGAGCTGGACTGACCGTGCTGAAAGTTTTGCTTTGGGCCCCAAACTTCTGGGTTGCTGGTAAAGAATATCTCAAGACTGAGAAAATCTCACCCTGAAAGAATGCAAGATCAGGTCAGTGAGGGAACACTACCTCACCATGGCATGACAGGTTGAATCTGGAGGTATTAACCAATTCAAACACAGAGCTGATTTGGGATCGGAGTGATATCAAAGCAAGACGTGTTTTCTTCAGAAACAGTTGCCATGCTGAAGCTTTCTACTCACTAGTTTTAAGAAGAAGAGCTGAAAGCCGGAGTTGTTATGTTTGGTTTATTAATTTACTCTGCTCAACCTCATATGTCAGGAATTTCAGAGCATCACCAGAAGCACAGATGTCAGCAGTTGGCAGCCAGTGATTTCTGGCTGCTCAGAGGTCATTTTTCACTTGGATCCCCCCCTGTGAAAGGTTTGAAATTCACCATTGAACAATATCGTATTTCATACCTGCTTGCTACTTCAGGTCCAGGAACTAAATTTCTTCCTAATAGTGTAACAGTGAAAGTCAGAGAGGCTGTTTGGTTTTTGATGCTGGATGGTTCCTGCGTATGACTGCAGTGTCATAAACTGTTTGTACCTGTGACCAGATCACACACCATAAAATAAGTGACAGACACTTCTGCCTAGAAATGTATCAAAAAAACCCCCAAAAATAGGAGGGGGGGTTCTTCCACTTTTTCATTTTTCGTTTTTTGTTTTTTTTGAGTGAGGCGGGGGTTAGGTGCGGGACGCCCTGGAGCCTGGCGTGCGGCTGAGGGAGCTCCTCTCAGTAGTTCGTTGTAGCCGTAGATTGAGGGAGGGAGGCTGGGTGCCTATGCAGTGAGGTCGTCCGTGGCGGTGCCTCGGGTCGTGGGTGTCTCCCGTGCCCCAGCTTTGTAGATGAAAGGAGTCATAATTCGAGCAGAGGGAGAGCGTGTATCTTGCCCTGGCTTACCGCATGACCTTGGCTGGATCTGAGGTTGAGCCAAGATTTAAATGCCAAGTAGTGCTTGTATGAAGACTTTCCAGCCCCTTGTAAGGCCTTAGATGTACTTGCTGGAGGAAAACCAGAGAAAAGGCTTCAACACATCTTTCAGGTACACTTTAGTATTGATCTGGGTGACCTGATGTGTTGTTAATTCTCAACGGGCTTACCTGGCGACTTTTTGTGTTAAAGGTTGCGTGCATATAATAAGTATTTACAAAGGAAATGTCTTTCTTTTTTTCACAATTGGTTGAAAGCAGCATTTGCAGCAAGCCGCCATCTTTCTAGTGTATGCTATTTTTGTCTAGCCTGTGCTCTCACAGCCAGGAGTGACAGCTTTAGGAAATGTGGACACTGCTACCAAGCTCTGAAAGCTAATGCTTCCAGGTGCCACATATCAAATGTGGCATGTGTGTGTTGGACTTTTTTTAGCTAACAAGACACTTTAGATTGCTGTTGGGAAAATAAGGGAGTACAGAAGTTGACAGAGAAAAACTGCATTTCAAACGTTTTCTGAAATCTTTGCTTTGACTAAGTGTTTACTTTTCTAATTCTCTGTCCGTAAAGAATAAGCCTAATGATTTTGCTAAAAAGATAGTTCTGTGAGACTTCCGTGACATTGGTGGTAGCGTGTTCACATCCTGTGAACTGAGCTCACCTTTTCCTGGGGTGTTTCAGTCAG